GCGTGCACTGCCTTTTGTCAGCTCCATCCAGCAGACAGCACTGGACCAGCCAGCATGGCGAACATGGGAGGCAGCTATGGACCAGCCCCTGGAGATGGAGCTGCGATTGCTGGCATGGCTGATTCCACTACCCAGTTGGACATTACCGGGGAAAAATTCCATGATTCCACAAAAAATAATTGATTCAGGGTCTATTATTGACCCTCTGACCTTTTGTCACTGATAATCAGATCAGCTGGCATTAGAAAGGTTATTAAATGCATCAACATTAAGAAACTGCGTAGCAATTTATTTTTTTTTAAAATAGATTACGTTGACAAGTAAGAATTCACCTTCAGTAAAGAGGCATCTACATAAGTCCTGTGAACTTACCCATCTCTTAGTAAAGAGAGCTTGTCATGTTTAGTGCCTCCCAGCAATTCGGGGAGTTTTATTTTAGAGATTTTTCTCTCCTTTTCCTCACTCCACTCAGTTTGCTGTAGGCTGTCACCTCATTATGCTGTTACCACTTACTATGAAGCCCTGACTTTGAAAACACTTATTTTTCTGGCAATTTTTCACCTTTCTCTTTTCTTTTTTTTTTCTTTTTTTTTTCCTTTCTTTTTCTCTTTTCTTTTTCTTTGATGCAGTCTTTATCTTGCAGTTAGATCTTTCTCAGGGCTCAACTTTTTGAATCCTGGCTACAGACACAACATCTCAGCTCACACCAGCCTTAATACTTCCAAGCATCCCAAACCCCAACAAACTATTTTATTTTACTAGGTTAGATATGCATATATATGTCATATGTATATAAAAGAAACGCTCTGAGTTCCCAATGAATTCATAGTGATCATTGCTATCATGGAAAGAAGCAAGTTAATTCCTTACAGCAGCAAGTAGTTTCTCCCCAAAGACCAAACTCTTGGACATAACCTGCAGGCAGAGTTATCATGCTTTGGGAACAGCCTCTTATTATTTATGTCCGTCTGTACAGCACTGGGGATTAAAGCATTGGTGTTCAACAACCACCTCCATGCTATCTTGCAAGCCAACATAATTCTACATCAATTTCATTTAAATATCACGTAATATTCAGTGCTATAAATTTTAGAACTCACCCTACCATACTTGTAGCTTTATCATTAGCAGGCATTTAATTCTGTCCAGCCATTGCTCATGTCAAGACTTTCCAGGCTGAGATGAACATCTCCTGCTTCTTTATACATCAAGGAGCCTGTAGGTGCCCCAGCCCTCATCTGGAGTGCTAGTTGCTGTATGCACACCTTCCAGGTGAAAAGCTCTTAAAAGCTGAGAAGATAAATATCAGAGGGGAACGTTGATCCCATGTCACAGATGAGAAATAAGGGCTTAAGGACATTAATTACTGCAGTCATACATCTAGCTTTGGACAATGGCCATGCATAATTCAGGGATCTAGTTGCCCTAGTCTACAAGGAAAGAGAGAGCAAGAGACAGACTTCTCTACTTTCTCTTGCATGTCACTGAAGCCACCTGTGTCAACGCCTCTCCTCATCCTCCTCAACCTCCTTTGCCAGAATTTAAGAACTTGCTTTTCATACATGCCCCTGCCCCATTTTATCAGCTGCCTGAAAAAGCCAAGTATTCAGTCTCTAATTTTTGATGTCCTGCCCTCCTTTGGCTACCTCAATTTCTTTGTCTTTTTCCCCTTTGATAAATCTGCACTATTCCTCCTTCCAACTATAATGCTTTGGTTCCTTGCTCTTCTCCCACTACTCTCAATATCTGTAATCTAACCCACAAACATAATTTCAATATTAACACTAGGCAGATGATGAAATTAGGGATAATGCTGTCCCTCTGCTGAATGGGGCAGGGGACATGGAAAAGGTAGTCAGTGTCTTGTTCACCTTGGTCTTTACTGATAAGACTTAGCCTTAGAAGTCCCAGGTGTCTGAGACTGGTGGAAAAGTCTGGAGCAAGGAAGATATATCCTTGGTGGAGAGGATCCAGTTTAGGAAACGAATTGCATATGCATGAATACATGGAACCTGATAGAACATACCCACAAGTGCTGAGAGACTTGTTTAATGTTCTTGTGAGGCCACTCTCAGTTATCTTTGAAAGCTTGCAGCAATTGAGGAAGGTTCCTGAGGACTGGAAGAACATAAGCGTTGCTCCTGTCCTCAGGCAGTGCAAAAATAAGGATTCAAGTGAACTATAGGCTGGTCAGCCTTGATCCCTGGGAAGGTGACAGAATAAATAACCCTGGAAATAATTTCTAAGCATATGAATGACAAAAAAAGTTATTGGGAGTAACCATGATGCTTAACCATCATCATCTGCAGGAAGATGAGTAGCTCAGCAGATAAGGGGTTGTTTTACCAATTATCAGGCCTAGCATAAAGGACACAGCCAGCATCAAGATGAACCCATAACCAGATTGTGACACAAAAGGGTCAGTACAGGGGTGAGCACTGGGGGTACAAACAAGTCAATCAGGTTATACATAACCAACATCAATCCCAATGATCCCAGCAATGACACCACACAACCAACAACAGGTAGAATAGATGGTGAAATGCAGCCTCCCATAGAAGGGATGGGAGACAACCAGGTCAACCAGCCAAACACATCAGACCAAGGAAGACACACACTGAATCCCTACACAGCCCACATTTACAAAAGCCAGACCTGACTGGAGCCCAGTCCCAGGGAGGCGGGAGGTCCTTCCCCAACAGGGAACTCTGCACAGGGCATCCACCTCACACACAGACACTGCCCCTGCCTGCAAGGGGTCCCAGCTTTTATCCCTCAGTGGGACACCTGACCTTGGGTTACTTAATGTGGGACACCTGGGGCTCATTTACCCAATGGCTCTGTCTGCCAGGCTGCCGCACCCTGGAGGGAAGCCTGAAGGGAAATTCACCCCCCTTTGTGAAGGGCTGTGGGAATCACCCATGTGTCAGCCTTAACTTGGGGCTTGAGGTTGAAACACCAGCATTTCAGGGGGGAGCAGTGGATTTGCATATCTTGACTTTAGTAATGCATTGACAGTATCCCATAACATCCTTATTGATAAACTGATGCAGCATGGCCTAAAATGCACAGTGAAGTGGACTGAAAACTGCCTGAACTGCCAGGCTCAAAGTATCAGCAGCACAAGGTCTAGCCAGGGGTTGATACTGGGTCTAATACCATTAATTCTCTCATTCATGACTTGGATGAGGCAGAGTGCACCTTCAGCGAGTTTTAGATTATACAAAACTGGAAGGAGTGGCTGTTACACCAGGGGGCTGCACTGAGAAACAAGCCCACAGAAACCTCCTGAAGTTCAACAGAGGAAGATGCCAAATCCTGCCCCTGTGAAGGAATAACCCCAGGCTCCACACCAGCCTGGGGACAACTTTCGGGAAAGCAGTTTGGCGGGAAAGGACCTGGTAGGGGTCCTGGTAGACACCTAGTTGCTCATGAGAAGTAATGTGCTCTTGAGGCAAAGAAGGTCAACAGCCTCTTGGGCTACATTAGGAAAAGCATTTCCAGCAGCTTGAGGGACAGGCTTCTTGCCCTCTGCTCAGCCCTGGTGGGACTGGGGTCCCCAGTACAAGTATGACATGGACATACTGGAGCAAGCTGCATGAAGGGCTATGATGATGCTTAAGGGACTGGTGCACCTCTATGGATGGAGAAGAGAGCTGGGAGTTTTATTAATGTGCATAAGACCTGATGGGTAGGGTAAAAAAGATGGAGCCGGATGTTTCTCAGTGGTTCATAGTGACAGGACAAGAGGCAATGGACACAAACCAATTTAGTGGGAAGTTCCACTTCAACATCAGTAAAACGTTATTTGCCCTGCGGGTGGTCAAACACTGGAACAAGTTCCCCAGAGAGGCTGTGGAGTCCACACTCATGGAGTTAATAAAAACAAAGCCCTGAGCAACCTTCTCTATCTAAGCCTGTTTTGAGCAGGTGGTTGGACTAGACCATCTCCAGTTGTCGCTCCCAACCTCAAATATTCTGTGATTCTTTGATTTATGGTTCCACTTCTCCACCCTTTCCTTGTCTTTTGCTGTGTGCTCAACAGTCTCAACTTTGCTTTCTTACCAATTGAGGAGTCCCAGCCACAATATCTAAGCAACATGCTCTATCGCTGTGGGCAATGCCACCATCCTGTCACATGCCCATAACCTTGACATCAGCTTTGACTCATACTCCTCTCCCAGATGCCACTTCCTAGCTCCACTGAAGTCTTGCAGATTTGTTCTGTGTAACACACTTAAGATAATGCCTTTCCCCTCTATCTACCCATCTAGGTAAATCTCTTCTCTCCGTCTTTACCATTGAACATCTTAATTACAGCAGAATCCCTTTCTCTGGTTTTTCACAGATGTAAATTTGCCCTGATGATATTCCCTGGATGCAAAGGCCATTTTTCCAGACATAGCACTGATTCCCCTTCCTCATTTATATCAAAAACTAGGCTGTCAGCATCCAATCAACACACACAACCATTTTCCACAGTCCGTGTGCTGGATTTTCAAATGAATGCTTTTGTATTTTCTTCCATGCTGCTCCCCATAAATACCTATAAAATAACCTTGTTATTCTCTTCCTTTCTCTGCAGTAATATCTAGAAATCACCGGCAAGGGTTAGGCTGCAGATGCTCTGTGAGCACTGCCTGTCATACTGACCAGCACTTTCTTATTACATCCGTGGGTCTCCATCTGTCTGTCACTATCCATGGCTTCTTGATTTGTACTTAGATGCAAGTCATTTCATGCAGAGAATGTCTATTTTTCTAGAGTGCCTGGCACAGTAAAAATGAGTCCTTCACTAGGACCGTAATGTAAATTATTATTGTCAGATAATAAAAATAAACACAGATCAATAATACACATGTTCGAAACAAATTAGTGACATTCCTCTTGACTCTACCGCACAAGAAACATTGCAAATATCATAATTTCATTTTAAGCAACAAAACATAAATAAAACATCCCAGGTGCTGAAATTCATACTCACTTTTTTTTGTATTTCCCTTCTTAGAAATATCTAGGAATAATCCATCAAATACTTCTTATAGGATACAGTTTTAACCTGGACATGTGTTATTCTCAGTCTACCTGTAAAAAGACACAGACAAAAAAAAAAAAATTAGTGGTTTTTTTTAGTGATTTTTATATTTTTGTTTAGTGATCTTTGTTTAGTGATTTTTTACTTATTTGTTATCCTACATGAATTAAAACCAACTGCTAACAGTTAGACAGGGCACATAAAACACGCATCTATACACAAGTGGTTTCTAGTGTGATACCACATCAGCACTGTGCTAGCATATGCTTAGTCATCCCACGGAAATAAATGTATTTGTTAAATACAAACTAAGGCTTTCTGTACAGCACTTAGAATTAAATGCCTGTCCTTGGCTAACTGTGCAAACATCCATCCCTTTGCCAAGAGAGTAATTTGCCAATTCCTCTATTGTAGTTTCAAGGGTTTTCAATTAACATGGTAGTTCTTCCTTTCTTATTGTGTGATTTTTTTTACAGGCCTCGGAAAGCAAAAGAATTTTTTTATTTATGTGGCTATCCCCAATATTTCCTTCCTCAGATCTTTTACCCTTGTCTAAGTGGAATGACTAAGATCTTACACGGATGCTTCTTGTTGTTTCCACTCACGTAAATAAATTTTGTCTTATCTGAGTTGCTTGTGATGTCAAAGAGTCCCAGTTTAAAACTGTTATGCATGTGTGACAAGCCTGTTACGCTACAAGCAGGAGGTTCAAAGCCAGTGTATCACAGCACTGGGGCTCCTCTTTTATGCCTCTCATTAGCTGATTAGCCTCAAGCCCCCTCTTTCAGCTCCTTTCCTTGTCTCAGGGAGACAAAGTCCATAGGGACTGGGGGAGTGGAGAAGAGACGGCAGCAACTGGGTGTCTTTAGCTTCATTGAGAAACACATTTACCAGGGCCAGCAGTTTTCCCGGGCTGTTTTGCTTGATATGCATCTATAATACAGGCACTGTGGTGCACCAGGTCTTGAAGAATTGGAAAAATAATTTAGAATTAAGCAGTCTGAATGATGCAGTAGTACGCTATTTTAGAGGTGGGCTTCCACCTGGCAACCTGTTTCTGTCTATATGGTCCAAAACGATATTGACCTTTTAATCTTCCAATTGTAAATTAATTTTGAAGCCAAGCTGTCCACTGTAAAGGTACAAAGGTCACTTTTAAATAGCTGCTCTGCTACATTGCCCTTTACTCCGTGGTCCACATCCGTTGGCTTCCTCCCATTAATTCTCCTTCCTGAACAACCCTCCTTTCTGTCCTCATACAGATTATTTCTCCCCAACATGCATTTTTCGAAGCTGCATCTCATTTTGTCATTTCCTGCCTAAGGTTTCTAACCTCTTTATCTTCACTGATTTATGCAGTGCCTCCCAATTTGGATCATCTGTGATTTTAATTAACATGTACTCTTTTCCTGTCTTCTGGCTAATGAATTAAGATGTTTAAAGAAGACTGGACTCAAGACTGCTCCCTGATGTTCCCCCACTAGAAAACTCATGCTATTCAACGCATTTTCATTTATTATCTCACTTTGCTAATGGCCCTGTGGATGGTTTTTAATCAGCATCACAGGGTCCTTATATAAGCCAATCTGAATTAATTTTGTGAGTCTCATCTCTTGCTGGTGTTCACTTCAATGAGAGGGAAAACAAAAGCAGAAGAGGCCATCACTCACCAGAATGCTTTTCTGGGAGATCTGGAAATGAGAAGGAGGTGAAAATGAATTGTTCATTCTCTTCTCTCAGCACTCTGGTACATTTATGGTCCCCCACTACCATAATATCTATACTTCTCCTAATTCTTAATATATGTATTTTTAAACTACCTGTCAAGGTAGGGGAGTGCTATTATTCTCACTTTTGTGAATAAGTTTCAGCACAGAGAGAACTGTGAGGTTGTCAGCTCTGCTCCTCTAGCAGTCATGGTTATAAATTGAGAGGTTACGGTTGCTTTTGCATTTACACATCTCTTCTGGAAGTTATAGTGCCATGCCTGCCTGTGTGTACCTCTGGGATGACCCATGAAAGTGATTTCATCTCTTTATTTTATTTTTTTTTTAAAAGAAATTTATGTTTATATGTCTGTATGTGCATATCTATATCATGACCTAAAAAGTATTTTGAAAGACTGAGCCCAACTAGATGTAAAGTGATGCCAGAAAAAGTGAGGGACAGGTACCCCGAGCATGTAACTGCTTAATCCAAACCACATCAAATAGACTAAGACATATAGTGTTATCTGTTGCATCTGGTCCTGAAAGTTATTTGGGCACCTCCTTCTCACTTGCTGGGTGTTGAGATATTTCTGAAGACCTGGACCAAGTTGCTTTCATTGATGTTATACAGGAATCTTGTACTGGATTTGAACCCAGATCTGCAGAGTTTAAAATGTGTTCCCTGCCTAAGGGCTTCTTTCTTATCAAGAGGATAATAATGTCGTGTGATGGACATTTAAGCTTCATTCAGTGCTCTATGACTGAACTCTCCAAGAAGTAGGGTCTCACCCTGACCACATGCGCTACTTCCTCCACTGTCACCTCCTCATAAACAGTTTTCATGCTGTAGTTACATTTCTTTTGGATGAAATTAATAAAAAAAAAAAATAAACACCTCACATTTTTGCTACAGAGGAAAGGATTAGGAGAGGCATTTGTAATACAGACTTACTTTACATGGGTTATTTTCTGAAATACTAATCATATTTCTGAATCAGCTCTGAAATACCAGAATCTTCAAGTGTATATGTTTTTTAATAAAAGCCAGTAGGATTTTTTAAAAATTACAATTACCACTCTTCCCTCCCACCACTCTCACCAATTGAAACGCATAAAACCAAACCAAACCAAACCAAACCAAACCAAAAAAAAAAAAAAAAAAAAAAAAAAAAAGGAGAAAGAAAAGGGCCAAATATTTCCAAGAGCGTAAGCAGTCATAAAGGAACTAATCGTGAGCTAAGAAGTGATCTAAGGGAGTGAAGAGGGAGGTAAAAACATGAAGAAGACAATTTAGAAAATATTTTCAGGAGCAAAATTTCTAAAGACTCATAATTTTTTAAACACATGTCAAAATGAATATGTGGCCTTGCTTCTGCCTTTCTCATTAAAATATTTAGAGCCAAAAGACATGCAGGACATAATGTTTGTTCCCAATATTCTCCTTATAGTAGGAAGCAGTTAGACAGTTTTTTCACTCTAAACTTTTAAACATGGCCCAGTTGGAAATGAACTGCCTTTCACTTGCTAAAAATAAGCATAAGAAACTTAATCTAAGTCCATCGCCAGTGCAATTTATACGATACACAACGTCAGGGAGGTGTAATTAGCAGTGCATTGCAATAATTTATTATTGGTTTAAAAAGCCTGAACAATCAGGACCTTATAACAAAATGGGAAAATGGGAAGCTATGTGCCAGACATATTATTCTGGTTTATATTAATTCAGTTATTTTACCTTTAGTGCACATTTATCTATCCATACAGTGTGAATGCTCCATTGAGAAGGATGCTGAATATTGAACCTTTGGCTCAATATGAAATATGCACTCTGAGGCATAACTGCAATAATACTTCCATTTGCATTATTATGATTAACATTTCTCTGAATAGGAAGCATCCAGTAATATTAATTGCAGAAATAGTGAGATTCCAATTGTCATAAATCACTGTGTAGCGTAAAGCAAGCTCTCCAAAAACCTTATAGAAAAAACCCCTATTTTTTTGTGTGTTTTTTTTGAGTTAATTTCAACCTCATTTTCACCAGGCTTTCCCATTTGTGTCTGTTGACAAGACAGTAATTATGCTTTTCTCTTGATTAACACATTCTTTTCAGTAAGGTCCCAAACAGCTTTCACATGAAAGGCTGAATTCAACAGAGCATGGTTTTTCTCATTAAAGACTTAGCATTCACCCATAGTTAATTTATCACACAGATACTTCCTGTCTCATAGGAAGAAGGGTGGCCTTGAAGCTAACACTCTTGATTTGATCAGAAGTTTTCTCCACAACTGTTGAAATTAATCCTTTTCAAATATGATTATTATTGAATTAATTTAGTAAGTGAAAACAAGGCGGGGGGAATGGGATACTGTTTCTCTACTAAAGCACAGATCCAAGGGACATTTTGCCTTATTTGAAACAAGATAATCTCTAAATTTATACAAAGTCATTGAATCTTTATCTCTATATTTATATCTTTGTAATCAAGTCAACGTTTCCCCCTTCACTAGCATTTATTTCCTCAAAACTGTTAGCAAAACTGGCAATATTCATCGATTAATCAAAGCGAGCAACCTTGACATTTGGTGCATCAGCTTTCATTTGTAACAGGCATACGATGCAATGATTTATTCTGATGTATTACACTGTACCCTAAAGAGCATCCAAAAAAAAAAAAAACAAAAAAACCAAAAAACTTTCATTATCAGTGTTGTGAAAACAAGGCATCTGCATCAGGGACCACACACAAGGAGAGAACAATATCTTGCCACCTGTGCTCTTTAATCCAGACTTTTGATGGTTGGATTGTTTCAGGGTTTGCTTGCTTAGGGGCTTTTCGGATATCTTATTTCCAAATGTATCATATATTCAAAAAGCAACTGAGGGGTCTAAGCAGTGTTCAGCCCTGATACAGCAGAGCTTTTCCTGGCGAGCGTGCTGCTCTGGTCCAGCCTCGATTAACTCACAGTAGGTGAGATGCCCCTGAATTACTGTGGCACCAACTGAATTCCTAATGACAGTGTCCACTTTGCAAAAAAAACACACACCCCCTGAGATGGCAGTAATTAGTGCCATCCTCAGCAGCACACGAACGGTCGTAGATGTCCTGGTTGCTGCTGGGAGGCTGAAGGAAGGAGGTAGATCATGGACGTGCCCTCACCAAGGATGTTCAGACCAATTGTGCATTTTGGGCCAGGAGTACTTTACTCCCCACCTCTGGGCCTGATCTAATGATTTTGCAAAGCAGTTAGACATGTTGGGTATTCCACTCCATCCCCAAATAACGCTTTTAGCAGACCTGCACATCCTCTCCTTTCACACCAAATCGACACCCCATGTAG